GTATGGAACTCTGCCGTGTGATACTGAAATTATTTCAGTATTCCAAGGTTTTTCCCTACCAGAGTCTTACAAATTAAGGCTACATTTTTCTTCTAAAATTTATGAAAATTAGTTCATTATCTTAAAGTCATGTTCTTAATATTAGCAGTTCCTCAGTAAGACTACATATTTAAGTGATCTACAGATACTTAGTTCACTTTTAAATAGAATTTTATTCTACTTATTACTTTATTTGGACCTTTGTTTATAGTTTGGAGCTTTATTACCTCCTAGAGTCCCAAGAGTTTCTGTAAAATCTAGGTGCCAATTTTCTGACAGATGAAGATGACTTTCTCAGTGCAAGAAGATTTCTGATTTGCTGACAGCACCAGTAAAATTATGAGTGACTGAAACAAGAAATCTGGCAAAAGCTTTGGATCTCATGCTTAATTTATTCTTTAATGTTATGGGACTGGGAAGAAACAGCATATTTGATCAATGTTATTACCCAACAGCAGTGACTGTTCCTCTCCATTACTCACTCTGACCTGCTGCCAGGTGTCTTCCTCCAAGCCCCACTCCTCAAAGTCTGCACACACTGCGCTGCATTTGTGGTTCTTGCCCAAATTGAAAAAGAGGTCTAGATCTGCCCTTGGAGACGTGCTTCCTCACAGCAGCAGAGCTTGAGGTGCTAATAAAAGGCAGATGCCTTCTGCCTCTTCAATATAAAAATTCCCCACATTCCCTGGGGAGAGAAATCTAGCCAGTGATAGGCTTCAACATGGAATCTCCCCCCTGGCAATTGACAATATCCTAAATCTGCACACATATAGGAGACCAGGCAACAATGCCTTATAAAATGCTGCTTCTACATGGCTTTTTCACTCCAGAATTGAGTATTAAAAAACCACAACAGTCTGCAGTTAAACTATTGTATGATTGGAAAAGAAACACATCTTCCAGGACAAGTGGACTGTTTAGTGATGCTCCATAATCACAAGTCTGTTGTCTTGCAAAAACATGAAGTTACACACAGCTAAGCATTCTTAGGGCAAGGATCCTCACTTGGCCCAAAATCAATTGTCAGCCTATATTTATTCAGCAGGGGTACTTGCTTCTCAAGACAACCCATCTCAGGCTCTGTGAGCCATCAGTAAAATCAGAATGATTTAACATAGTATGTTTCTCTGGCTTTGTTTTTGGTAATTTGCCTATGAATATTGTTTTAAACTTTCTTATGTCTTCACTTAAGATAGCTTCTTTTGGGAAAAAAAAAATCCAAGCATTTTGCAAACTGGTATTACATACTTCACATTTTTAAGTTCTCTACACTGCAGGCTGGATAACAGTCAATAACTCGGTGTTTCTGTACAGTTGGTTCCTGCAAGGCTGAAAAAATGTAAGGGGCCAGAATTAGTCAGTGCAGCTTTTTCTAGTATAAACATTTCCATATGTCTTTTTAAAATCTGACTTCCATTCACTGATTTAATCATGTCATTCCTCTAAACAGCAGCAGCATGTGGAAATCAAAGTTCTCACGTTGCTTAAGGTCCTAAGGTAAGTCTTCAAAGAATTTTCATATCCTGCAGGAGAGAAACAGTTTTGAAACTTGTCCTGAATGACTTTTCACCTCTTCTGCCAGTACGAGACACTGAAATGTCAAATGACTGTCTCAAAACTTACTTGTGTCTGTGGAAACCTCAAAGACAAGCTGTGGCCTTTGGATTAGTCTAAGGAATGTCACCCAAGGAAGCAGAAGTGTATCAAAGGATGCACCCCCTGCTCCCTTGCAGTTGCATTGTCAAACTCCTTGATAAGTCTCAAAGTGGGAGACATGGACTGAAACCAAATGTTTATCATCATTGGCTCCATGTGTAGCCATTTGTGACTCTATTGTGTACGCCAGACACCATGCATGCATTGCTAATGAACTGATAAGAGGTAAGCATTTCTGCCCCAGAAGCCAGATGATTACTCAAGGAGCATGAAATCAGCAAAAAACTGTGGGACCAGAGGAAAAACTAAAGGTGGGCAGGTATGCTAATCGGCTGATATAATGAACTTAAAAGGCAACAGAAAACTTTGCTCTGTGTGCACCCACCACTGAAGAACGTGAAGACTGAGGACCAACAGGACGCTGCTGGATCCAGGTTGGTGACTATTCTTGCAACTCTACTCTGGATGCTTGCTTTATTTCTGTCTTTTCCTTCCATTCTGTCCTGTCACTACCCCTCTTCACTTTTAATAACAAAACCTGTTTTGGGTGTATGGCATTTGATCTTGTTTGTGTCTTAATCTTACTCTTGGGATCATATTGAAACCTGCCCCAACATTGGATTGGGACAGCCAGCTCATGTCAAAATTACACAGAACTGGTACATGAAGGAATGTTCTCACTCACAGAACAAACAGCTGCAGCTTCTTAGGGGAAGTAATATTTTGAGCATGGAGACCCAAATACTTCCGACCTAAATAGCTCACAGAACCGTTTCTTGAGAAAAACTGGTTTGTCTGGGGTTTTTTAGATACTTTTCATGGCCAACGACTGGCTAACGACAGTGACTTAGAGACTTGCACACATCAAGATTAACATCCAGTTTGTTGTAGTATGGAACTCTGCCGTGTGATACTGAAATTATTTCAGTATTCCAAGGTTTTTCCCTACCAGAGTCTTACAAATTAAGGCTACATTTTTCTTCTAAAATTTATGAAAATTAGTTCATTATCTTAAAGTCATGTTCTTAATATTAGCAGTTCCTCAGTAAGACTACATATTTAAGTGATCTACAGATACTTAGTTCACTTTTAAATAGAATTTTATTCTACTTATTACTTTATTTGGACCTTTGTTTATAGTTTGGAGCTTTATTACCTCCTAGAGTCCCAAGAGTTTCTGTAAAATCTAGGTGCCAATTTTCTGACAGATGAAGATGACTTTCTCAGTGCAAGAAGATTTCTGATTTGCTGACAGCACCAGTAAAATTATGAGTGACTGAAACAAGAAATCTGGCAAAAGCTTTGGATCTCATGCTTAATTTATTCTTTAATGTTATGGGACTGGGAAGAAACAGCATATTTGATCAATGTTATTAGCACATCCTTCCAGAAGTTATCTGTGGGTGGAGAGGCCCATTTTCCACTGCAAGGGCATCTCATCCACCACATGCACTTGAAACAAACACAAGCTGACACTGGAGAAGCAAGAAAATGATTTCTGGTGAGTTTACCAGGCCAAGGAAGTGTAGAGAGAACTGACCTAGAGGCTCCAGAGAATAGTCTGGCTTCAGTGAGACCCAGAAATTCCCTCCAGATGTTTTTAAAAAGGGATCTTTTAGTTTCAACATGCAATTGTATTGGGTTTTCTATTGCTAGTGTAGCTGGCACTACTGAAACTATTTTTTTCCCCCTAAATAATTTTACCAATGAAGCTTGGGAATGTTGAATCTCTCTTGCTATAAACCAGAAAGCCTGTCTACTGAGTGGGGAAATGCCTAACAGCATTGCTGCAGGTAATTTTTAAATTTATTTTATTTGTGAGATGACCCAGCTGCAGGAAAGCAGGGTGATATATCACTCAGCCTCTGTTTTGAATCCTTTCCATTACCCATGCTATCAAAGATGAGGGAAATGTGTAGGGCAGAAACAGAGAGAGGTACCGGTTCAGTTTTCTGTCCTTCACAGCAGTGAAACTGTTGATTACTAGTTGAGTTTCAGTAACTTCCTTAAAAATCCTAACAACCTCTCTAAACCTGAAATATTTTTGTATTTGATTTGCTTGGTAAAACACTGTAGAATAAGTTTTTGCCATTTCTATATTCACCCCTGAAGGAAACAGAGAGACCATTTAAGAGCTCCTTAGAATCAACCCATTGTTATCATAAGTCCAAATTTCAGATTCTTAAGACTTCATAGCATACAGAGTCAATCTGTTGACATGTATGTGATCAGAGAGCTGTGGCAATACCATACATGCATTTGAGCTAAAACCTATTTCATATTTGAAGGAATAACAAAAATAAAATGCTAGATGTCATTTTGTGAAAAAAGTTACATGAAACCTGTTAAATAAGCTACCCTTTCAGATGCTGTGACTCCTGTTTGCTTTCTCAAAGAGGGGGAAGGCAATTCTCCTAGCACTAGTATGTTCTCAGTAACTGTTAAAATACTTTCAAGAAGTAGTCCAAGACATCGTGGGGTTTTTACAGCTGTGCTTCCTCAGCTTCATTCTAGATGCCATTGTGCAATGCATACTGTTTTTATGAACAGCCCAGGAACAATTCTCATGAAACCTGCCAGATAAGAGTCACAACAGCCCTTTCTCTGTTGTTCTGTTCTAGTTGTTGCCCATCAGGAACAGACAGGAAGGGTGTAGTACGAGAAATGGGAGGAAGCAGGATTTTATACATTACAGCAGAAAAGAAAAAAAAGATAAAAAAGATCCCAACAGCCAAGATATCCCATGGATTTGACTGAAGCATTCTGTGGCTGCCCTCCTCGCCCCAGTTTGTTCGGAGTCCATGCAGCAACAGTATCAGACTACCATGTTTTATCCTCATGGAATTAGTGACTAACAAGTTTAGAAAATGGAAACAAACTCCTGTTCTCTAAATAGAGCTGAAATACAGTATAGGTGGGGTATACACAGAACTAACTGAGCTTTCCCCCAAAAAAAGCCCTGAGGTCACTGAACTAAGACATTATAAGACTGTAGTTAAGCCCCCTTTTATTTTGTGCATGAATGTGCAGGTTGTGTTAAAAAAGTAAGACTTTTTACAACCTGAAGGACCAAAGGTGTGCTTCCAATGCCAGTGTGGCCAGAGCAGGGTCCACTATTGCACCATGTATTATAAGTTTCACAAAGCCAGAGGCACCGGTGGCAAGAACTACAGCAATGCTCCCACCAGACACTCTTCCTATAGCTAACTCTTTAAGTCACACCGCCATCAAAAAGTCTTTACTTTTTCGTAAACACAAAATCTTCATTTGCTTAAACAGCTACAGAATCAGGATAACAAACTGTGTTTGGAATCACTATGTTTTTTCATTTCTGGAATAAATTTTTCTGTCATTTTCTGGTTTACTGAAGATTTCTAAGATCTTTTTGTTACCATGGGGCTTGAGTTGAAAGTTAGAAGTATAGGAAATACTACACTTCCAATAAATTAGACATTTCTTTTTTGCTAGCTCTGTCACTTCTTACCCATTTTGTTTTACTGCTTCTGGACTTTCGTTCTCACTGTGCTGTAGTATCTGTGGCTATCTTCCTCAGTGCTACCCACGCTGCAGAGATGGAGGTCTCCTCCTTGCAAACACAGCCTGGCATTTGCAGCTGGTTCTTTAGATCTTCTTGTCTGCCTCTGTGTCCCTTCCTTAGCACTGGTCCTTCATCTGGGGATCATGACCTGACATGGTTTTCCAGATTAACTGAGTATTTACCATGTTTTTTTTAAAAAACACATTTGCACCTTAACCAGAGGGATCTTTGCTTGCCCACAGAACTAAAGGGGGGTGGGTGGGGGGGAAGGAATGAAGTGTTTCTCATCCCACGAATTAAAACTGAAATTTGGCCCAGGAATGGGGACTCTTCTACATATAGGAGACAGGGGTGTTCAGATCAGGCAAGAAATGACATTGTCTCCAGCTTGAACTGAGACCTAAATTCAAATTTCTGCTATGCTACATGTTACCCAAGACAAGACACTCACACCATCTGTGCCTGTAAAATTAATACAATTCTTTGCTAATTCTTATGGCAAGTGAGATCTGAGGGAACAGGCTTTGAGGTTTGTGGGTATATGAACCTCAGAGTTAATAAAAATGTTCCCACCAAGATAAAACTTCCTTCTACCACATTTACAATATGTTTCTCTGTCAACAGTACACTGTATATTTTAGTGCTGTTTGCTTTTGCTTTTCCTTAAACCAGTTGTCCTCTCACATGCAAATGTGGTAGACTTTGTTTAACAGTTATAAAACACCAATGTACCTTATACTTAGCACTGCCATTTTAAGGTTAAGATGAATTTATTTGTAAAGTTGTGTTTACTTATGATCTGTGAGCTAACATACCTCATGCTTCCTCTTGTTTTCCCATTCTCAGTGGCACTGGTAGTCCTTCACTTACTCTTGCCTGCAGAAAGCTAATCCCTCTCAAGAATGCGAGAGTAGTACTGAAATTCTGGGTTAAGAATCAAAGTTCCTGGACCGCTTTCATTCTACTCCATCTCTTCTAGCTTAAATTGTTCATAGAGTAATGCTTTTCATAGATATTAGCTAGTTTATTGGGTTTTTAAAATAACATTACTGCTCTGAAGTCATGCTGTATTTGTCTGTTGATTGCCTAGCACTGGAAGATACAATAAAAAGAAGGCTGATAGTCTTGCATTACTCATTATCTCTGTGGTCATCAGTGAGATGTAGCCAGAAATCCCAGATGAAGAATGACAAAGTAAAATAGTGAGGTAAATCTTTGGGAAAGTCCCTAAGATTTTTCCCCATCTTAGGAAGAAAGAGGATACTCTATTCATCAGCATAAGTGGAAAGAGGGTACAGAATTAGGCAGAGAATTGATATTCTTATAATGTTTTTAGTAAGAAATAAATGGGTTGGGAAGACAACTCAAGATTTCAACAGAGCAATGTCTGCTGGAGATATCTGTCCCACACACAAGCAAGGCACTTATCCTGTACATGAACTGAAGAAGAAATGCAACATATTATGGGACACAAATGGCCTTAGTGATGAATATATGAATGGGCTAGATACATAGGGTCTACTTCTCTGAGTGGTTTCAACACCACAGGGCATTGTTAGAATCCCCATAGTTCACAGATGAAGCAAAGAGCTTCTCCACTGCCCCTAGACACTGCCCCTAGACACTGCCCAGGCTTAGGCAGGTTGCTCCTGCTGCATTCCAAAGGAAGCTGCTTGCAAGAACTTCTCTCCATACCTGGGATACCTTGCACCTAGAAAACAGGGAGGATTCTGCAATGGGAACAGCTCACTGACAGTCACTGCTTGTCTGAAAGGTTGAGAGAAAACACACACATGCGTGTTGGTGGTTTTTTTTTTTGTTTTTTTTGGGTTTTTTTTTGTTTGTTTTTTGAGTTGAGCAACAAACACATTCTCTGTCACTCAGCAAGAAACCAACAAGTTGATTGGGTTTTGGCTGTAACCAATTCCACAAGTTTCACTCCAGTATACCAGCATCACAAATTGCTGTGTCTGGTAACTTTTGCTTACGTACAAGAACTGCTGCAGGTGCCTGTCAAGCAAAATATTGCATGCAACATGAAAGAAGAAAAAAATTAAATCGATCAGTAATATTAACAGCATTAAGGTAATATAATTTGATGGTCCTTTTCTTCCAAACTATCAAGGAATACTTGCTCCAGATTACTTCTGAGGACATGGAGGAGCCAATACCTTGAACAGGATTCTGTGCTACTTCCCCACATATTGTCAGCCAAGGTGAAATAGTTAATTCTCAGCACATAAAGGTTACAAAGAGCAGGCATGCAAAGCTAGGGTCCATCATTAGCCATCCCACAGATGTAAATCAATTTGGTCAGGCAGCATAGGAACAGGATACCAGAAGGGAGAGCATGAACTCTCCCCATCTTCACTGCAACCAACACAAAAGGCAGCTTTGGCCTAGGATTGGGGTGCACTACTTTGTCATCCATCCTACTGTGCCTTTTTTTTCCCCTTTAATGGAAAAATGCACGTGCTCTGAAATATCTCCTCTGAAACACTGACAGTATCCCAAACTGCAATGATGCTGTTAAATTGGCTTCATACGTATTTGTGAGAGATCTAAAGGGAATATCGCTAAAGAAAATGCTAGTGCCTGTACTCATGAGCTGATATGTTTTGTTGGCTTATTGGTAATTAAGAACTAAGGGCCTGAGCTATGTGGCTGTGGTGTTAATCATCTCCTGTTTCAGGGTAGTGCATACATCAGCATTGCCAAATCTAACTTATTAGTGATAGGCTGACTGTGGGCAGCTTTATCAAACCTATGAACACCTGTAAGCACTTGAGCTCTTTCTGCCATCCTGAAGAAGGATCTGGTAACTGAAGAAAAACTGGTTTACTCAGCTTACTGTGTTAAGGGCCAACTTAGATATCCTTGTGAGTAGTGGTCTCACTGTGACCAGCATTGCAATAATGCTGGCTTTCTCACATGGACTTCTTGAACTAGCTCTCAACTTTCGAGTTTGGGTAGAAGACAGGGAGTAACCACTGCAGCTTGGAGTTCAACCTCTACTTCCAAACCCACATAAGGGGTCAACACAGTTAGGTAGTCAGAGTAGTTAGTTCAGGTATTGCGAACTGTGCAGCCCTCATAATAAGGGGAAGATTTCTTCACCTATCAGGGCTACACAGTTTGAAATATTTGAACTAACTACACCAAAGATAAGCAAAAGGGGACTGTACTTGACTCCTTTGCTATCAGATTACTGTCCCAAGCACTTGGAAAGTGTGTCTGCCCTTGACATGTACAGCCTCTGCAGAAAAGGGACCATTTCTACCTCGGTACAAGGATTAAGAAAATATGATGCCTATTTTTTCAGAGGACCTGAGCATATGGGTCTTCTACATAATGGAAAAATGAACAAGGAAGAAAATGGTTATCTAGGACCTCTTTCTAAGGGCCTACAGAGCCACTCTCCACAGAAACTCTACTTTACATGTAACCTTTCCATCACTTTTTCCTCAAGAGCATTCTTTCATCTTCAGCTAACGAACAAGAAAGCTGAACATTTGTTCAAAGCTCCTCTTAAAACCTAGATGGTTCAAACTAAGCATGCAAGTTGTGTGGAGTGACAACCACAATGTCTCTACTGGGTTTCTCAGGGCAAGTGCTAAATATTTTTTGCAGGCTTGAAATTCCTTTCAAAGTACTTCTCAGAACTGCCTTCCAGATCTGGTATGGCACAAAAGCCACACCTATTTCTTCAGTGCCTTTTAGAACCAAACCTTCCTGTAAATAATTGGCTTATTTTAATAATGGCCACCTCACGAGGTCATTTTTCAAAAACCTCATTGGAGTTATTCATACATGTTCAGTTTGCTCAAGGACTGGCATCATAAATTCCCTCTCTATATAAGTTCTCTGAGAAGATGAGCTTCCTACAGGCTGTCTCCTTACTGGAAGCCTCATAATTCTGCAAGAATGGTGAGTCCTTACATCTTATACTTTAAAAGACCGAGGTAGGTTGCTATAGGTTTTAAAGGAGGAAGTATAAATTCTATGTTTTAGGAACAAAAGTCAGATAGGCACGGGCAAGTAAGAAACTTGTGTAAAATATATCAGCATGTATAAGGCAGAAGACATCTAATAGGACTCCAGCTAAGGCTTTTTATTATAATCTGTTTTCAGTTACATATAATGTTTGGAGATAATCTGTTTTCTGGCAGAAAGCAGCTCTGTTGTGTCTAAACCTAGAATTGGCCTTCACTTTTGTGAAAAGTCTGGATAACAACTGAAAATGTAGTTAAACTCAAAAATGTTACCTTGATTTTTACTAATCTGCATCTCTGTTGCAGTTCTGTTTTAACCTCTCTTCTGCAAAATAAAATGTTAATTTTTTCTCCTCTCACAGGTATGACTTCTTTTTATAAGCCACTAGTTCTATGCTGTCCAAAGCAAACACACATATATACAATATGTGTGTGTGTATATATGTCATTGTTTACTCCTGGGTCTACTTTTCCTCTCTTACCAAGATTTTTAAATTCATCACAGCTAATTCCATCCTAGAGTTCTTGCACTTATTTCCTTCATATCCCTGATGAAAGCCCTTCAAACATTTCAAACCAATATTGAAGGATAAGAGACTAGTTGAGGAATGTGAGCTGAACTTTCAGAAAAAGCTGCTGGCAAAGGTCATAGCATGTAGAATTATCTAGTTTGGAAGGCACACCTGCAAGTCATTTGGCCAACCGCCTGGTCAAAGCAGAGCCAAGTCTTGAGTGTTCAACTTCAACTTGAATGTTCATCAGCTTGTTCCTAATATTTCAATATTAGGGTGAAATATCCAGTGGGTTCTTCAGACTCCAGCAAAGAAGTTTTTACATCTATGAGTGAGGTTAGTGGTAGAGACAGTGACCAATCCTATGGAGAAAATAAGGACAAGAACAGTGAATGGGGAAGGAAAAGGAATAGAACACACTCCTTTCACACACAGTATCTGGCTCTACCAGTACTCTATCAGGCAATGATTAATTTTAACAGCTTTGAAAGACAGACTTGTTTTTCCCTCCCACATGACGCTCTGCCTCTTTCTTCTCAGTGGTTCAGTATTCCTGATTGTATGTTAAATTTTCTAAACTGCAAAAACCAATTGGATTTTGATTTGAAAGAATATATTTTCCTATATCTAATGGTACTATTTATCATCGATACATCTTAATAGTTACTTGAGTATTCATAAGAATTCTGCTTTCTTGTTCAGAAGACCATCTTGGCCTGCCTTCTTGTTCTTGCTGTTACCTTGCCACTGTCCAATGCTTCCTGCTTCATTGAGCTATTGAACTCAGAGAATTCAAACACTGAAGGTAAGAAGTCAACTGTCCTTAACTTGACAGACATCACCACAAGCACGATTTGATTTGTCCATTCTGTGCAATTTACCACAACTTAGAAGTAAGTGGAAACAGTGGAGAAACAACTAGGAAACAGGAAGAAAACGGAGGGGGGAATGGGGTATGGAGAACAATGAATTTACAGAAAGTTATTAAAAAGTTTATCTGAGGACCATCACAGAGGCCAAATTACAAATGAATTTTTTCCAGGGAAGCAACATAGGTTCATCTATCTGCATGAAGTAATAATTAATGTTTTCACTATGGCAGCATATTTAGAAATACAGAGAAGGGCCTTTCTCTACGTGCGTGTAGTCAGTATAAATCAGGAAAGAGATTGGCAAGTGTCCAGCATACCAATAAATTTACTCATAAGTTGTTTCCCTATCCCAAGGCAAGTTCTTAAGAACAGTATGACTGCTCCCCATGAGTCTGGGACTGCTCTTCCTGAATGCAGCTAGTCTATCAGTCTACAGATGAGTGGAGCTGCAGGAAAATAAGTTCCTGAAAAAGAAACATGCAATTATTGGGACACAAGAGGAGCTGATGTATGCCAGTATGCAAAATAAATCAAGTGCCCCAAACTAGAAAAATGCCAAAGAAACAGAATTTATTTATAGGCAAAGACACAACCTAGAACCCCCAAATCCTCCACTCTGTCTTGTCCTACCCTCAAAATCCTGCTTTCTAGATCACTTTTTTAGAAAGTCAATTCTGTGACTGTTGGACAGGAACTTTATATCCAGTATATACTTTCTTCCTGCAGCTCCGGATTGGGAAAAGTTTCCCAGGGAGATTTAGTCTTGCTCTAAATTAGGAGTCAACAACAGTTGGTGTTAATGAGGGGGGAAGTCAAAGCTTTCTCTTAATTCTGAGCAGGTCTGTGCCTAGTTCCCTTTCTGATGGGTGCTCTGATTCCTGGTCTTAAAGATGAGCTGCTACAGGAAACCCGAAGCTGCTGAGAACCACAGGAAACTGTGACACACAATACCCTTCTCCATGCATTAGAATAGTAGCAGTCCTGCTCTGTTGGGGAACCTCCATGTTTGCCAGATAGGAATGTTAATGCAAAAAGTCAAAGATCCCACCCATTCTGTATAAGCAATAGCATTGTTAGTGCAATAAGTCTGAAGCTGAAGGTTGTGCACTATGTTTTCAGGCTGCTTTGACTCAAAAAAAGAGCTGCATAAATTTGGTTCTAAGTGGAGGACCGAAGACTGCCTTGACTGCCATTGTTCCAAGGATGGAATTGACTGCTGCACCGCGTGAGTTCAGAGCAGCAGTGGAGGTTTTCCTCTGCTGCCGTGACACAGCACAAACCACTTCCCTTCAATCAGGGGGCCCCAAGAAACAACCATGACATTTGTCTCACTTCATATCACAAAGTTACTAATTAACCTAACACCATCATCACTGAGCATGCAAAAAGTTCCTCTGACAAATATAGCTCATGTTTAACAAATTATTCTTGATTGGTAAAAAAAAAGATTTAATTCTTCTCAGAGCTAAAATTTCAGGCAAGATACTGATTAGAGAGAGAACATGTAGTTACTTCAGAAATTTCTACTGCTCCTAGTCCAGATCTTCCTAAAGCCACACATTGCTGCTCTTTTGTCTGAGAAGCAACTCAAGATAAACTCATCTGCCTGTAATTTTTCCTACAGTGACACCCAACCAGTCATGCAATTCTTGTTCCATACTGCGACTGAGAAAAAGCAATTATATTGGAATAACAAACACAACATCTCTTGTGTGTAAATCAGATCAGTAAACTACAACTCTCCCCTCATCCTGCTTAAGCAGCAGCTAAGTAACATTTGAGCTGTGAGATTTGTATGAGCTCCCTTTTCTGCTCCTGGACACCTCCTTAGTATAGCCTCTTCTTATTAAAAGTACTGCAGCCACTATCTGAAATGCAAGTGGCTTACTGGTTGGTTTCATCACCTCTTTGTCTTTCTTTTCCCAATAACAGCTTTGCAAGACCAGTTGGCTATGATGAAGAGAAGTGTGTAAACATTTTCAACAAGGAGACCTGCACTTATAAAACAGTGGAGAAAGATGATCACTCAAAAGAATGCCCAGTCCATGAGTGGGTGGGCTAACAGAGAAAAATTGTGGATTTGGGGAATATTTTCTTTTTTGTTGTTTTAAGGGTTCTCTCACAAATTAAAAGAAAAATTCAACTGTTGAGTGAAATCTACTCATAAAACCTAACACAATAATAAAACCGAATATCTACTCACAAAAGACTCCCTTGGTTTCTCTGCCTTCTGCTTCCCCATGAAGCAAGAACCAACTTGTTCCTTCCTTGAGATAAGAAATTAAGGCTGACATTTTTAAGCATCCTTGGTAGCTTATAACTTTAATTCTTCTCTAGTCACACTTCAGTGCCAGGGAGTATATTCTGTTATCTGTGAACAGTTGTATCTTAAAGCTAAAATAAAATCAAATGAAGCATCAACAATTCATGTGACATTTTCATCTTTGAGGAATGAAACCTAAAGAATTATTCCAAATAAAATGGGAAAGAAATGAAAAGTGACTTTAAAATCTTTCTGAACATTATATTTTCTAGGACAATGTCTTATATTATGATCTTTTATCTGGTATGGCTGCTTGGAGCCTGCCCTACCTATGGACAGCAAGAGCACAGCAGACCCAGTCCTCAACCTGGGGTTTGGGTAAAAGGTCCTTTATTCAGATTAGCTCTTAAGAAATTCAAGTTATTAAACTAGTCAATGGGCAGGATTGTGGCTGGCTAGAGAGACTGATCTGGACTAGGCTCAAACAGGGAAGCAGCTTGGCAATTCCACAGGCAATAACTGAGAGGGATACACTCTCCAGTAGATGCTCTCCCTCATGGCACCACTTCATAATCTTTATGGGTACATTTGTTCAGTTGTCTCTTTCTACAAGTGACTATGAGCATCCTATGACTTCATGCTCTATTTTCTGGTAACAGAAAGAGGATGCCACAGCTTCCATAGCTCCTTGTTTCAAATTATGGAATGAACACATACCTTGTCAGCAGGGCCTGGTCTTGCTGTCTGCAGGGGCAAGACAAAGCTCAGCTTGCATGAGCCTTGACCACATGTTCTCCAGTGAGCAAGGCAGCTTCACCTTCAAAATTACACGAGTTTTTTATTATTCCACCTCTGCTTCCCTTTCTCATTCCTCAGGAAAGCAACCCTGTTGGTTATACTTTTTTTTTTTTTTTAATTGCCTATCACATGCCCTGTTGGAAGAGGACCCGCAGTAATGTACTTTATACAACAGCTAACAAGTCAAAGCTGCTAACATCACTGTGCAAATAGACTAAAGCCCATAAGGCACTCACATCAAGAGCAGTAACAATTACATCTACTGGGAAAAAAGGTAAGAAGGTTCTGCATGATTTGAGATGCATCTGTCCCACTTTCTTCTTTCCTGACTACCAAAAAATGTGCAACACTCATTGAGGTCTTGTGGTCCACATCAGGTAAGACACAGGTGGCCACAGGCTGCCCAGGAGCACTTGCAGAATTGAGTTGTAACTGAACCACTGCTCTTGTGAAGCCCAGGAAGATACTGTATGCAGAAGTTCAGAGCTTAATGCTAGATTGAGAACAAAGGATACTTCTTCCCTCATTGTCTTTAGACAGTGGGATTTCAGTCAAGTACTTACCAAAGCTAACGACAATTTGCCTGTTACAACACTCATTTATTTTGTAGTTTATTTCCAAACTCATCTGAAACTGACTGCTGAATTAGTTGGGTTTTTTTCTAATATCTACCTATATCTGGAAGCTACTGGGACTACTGGGACCTGCTTATGGTGTATTTACACAGTCAGTTAATTGTAGCAATGTGGGCCAACTGTTTAGGCGCATGATTAGTTTCTGTCTTGATCAGATGTCCCTTAGTGATATGGAACTATTTCATAGAACCTGTCAAAAATAAGATCCAGATTTCAGAACGCTATTCAGGAATACTTCAAGTTAGAGAATAGAGAGATTAAGAATACAAGGTTAACCAAAAAGCAAGGTGCTTTGATGACATTTCTGAAGGCAGTGGTATAAATCATCTTAGAATTTGCAGATACATTCTGGCTCAGTATTGAGACACCTACTTATGAAACCCTGAATTATTCCTTTTCTTCAGTACTATATCCTAAACTGATAATGTTGATAAGTCTGGAATTGTGACCTGCATTTGACTGAAGCTGAGCTTTGTGTTTATAGTCTCTGTATACAAGAGATCAAATTCTTTTTCTCCTTCATGCCATCTTCCCCCACGCAGTTATTAATTACTTTTCTGCAACATTAAAGTCTGCTAATTTATTTTTCTCCAGTTGTTCTGAGGGCACCAGTCATTTCTATTCTGCTGCAGGTCATAATCTGATCTCTGAAACAGAATTAAATCCACTGAAATCCGTTTACACCAAGCTGCTTGCTGTGTGCATAAGTTTGCCAGTTTGAGTACTCTTAGAGTAGAAACAGATGAGGCATCCCATTATGTACTGTCTGAAAATTATCTAAAGGCTGGGAGCATTACAACTCCTGCGTTATGTCAGATGGACTCTACCCAAGGCTGTGAGAGGAAGTTTATAAAACAGGCCATTATTCTAACTCATATCTTAAAGGTGCCATCCATGTACAGACAGCATTCATGTTCTCAGACACGAGAGAATCTTGTTGTTTACAGCAGGTGGAACATTCTGATTCACAGCCTGTCCCAATATCCAACAAAGAGGAACAAAGAAGTTTGCCTGCCAAGAGAAGGCACTTGTGAGGCCATCCTAATTTGCAATAGTAGAATGGAATGTGGACAGATCATTTTGGAGCTTGTGTAATAGACTTCATCCTTTTTTATATAGCATAAGGGAGAAATTTTTCTCTGTGTTATTGTCATCTTGACAACAGATGCAATCTGAGCCCACCCACAAAGAGGAGCCTCTCTTTTTGCTAGGTTTGTTCTTGCAGTAATAAACTGCCTTTACCTCAGACTCCAGTTCCCTAATTGGTTTGATCCAATGCAAGTGTCTTCCTTATTCTAGCACTAAAATTTTGTTTTCCAGAGTTCTGGTCTAACTCATTGTTCTAGATGAACAGCCTCAGCCCCTTCAGCACCTGCCAAGGATATGTGGATTCATCCTGTCTGCTATGCAGAAGTAGAAAAGATTAATTTAATGTGCGAGCCTTCAGGAAGCAGGCTGCTGTCCTCTTGTCTGCTCTAATTTTCAACATGGAAACAGATGATGTTACCTATTGCATTTAGTTTTGGAACACTAAAAGCACAGCAGGGACTTGGCTTCCTTCTGTAGCAAGGAACCTAGCTGTGGGAGGATGACAAAACTCTAAAACTTGAGAAAGAAGAGACAGAGCATACAAGTCTCTGCTCTATTCTTCCTACTTTTGCCAAGTGATGTTTTGTCTTGGCATTTCACTACTTCAACACCCCACCCCCACCCCTACAGTCCCATACAAACAATACATCCCACCACCCTCAAAGCTTTAGATAACACCACTAGCTCCACACAGTGGAAATGAAACACTCACCAAAGAGTTTCCTCAATTATCCTGACACATTAAACGTTTAAGAGACTGCAGAGCCTTGGAAGGCAGCACAGCACAGGCAGAGCAGAAAATATTGCATGCTCTCTTCCCCCCAGTTTCCCTCTCTCCACCTAGTAGCACACAGCTTTTTTGCTAGCCCTGCTAGAAAAAGAGGCAGTTTCAGATAGCTGGCCTTCTACTCCCAGTAATTCTTTTCAAGGCAAGTCTTTTCGAGTACTGAAAAGGTGTTATTGCCCTAAAAATGAAATCTAGTGCTTAGCCTACCAACTATCAAGTCTTTTAAACCAAACACTAGAAGACACATAAAAATCCAGTGGAAGTTTTCCTATTAAACAATGTTTATCCCCTAAAACTTATTGGCCTTGTACCCATTCATGTTTTGTTTACATTAAGATTCTTGCCCTAATCTTAAAAATAAAATCCAACTTAAACAAGGAATGTGCATATTGCATTTGCATTATGCATACTAAAGAAGCTAGAGACTTGCAGTTCACATTCTGCTTTGTGATAGTTTAAAAAAAGATAAATTCAATTCATGAGTTTCACTTGTGCACTTTGCTCTTAGTTAACTCTTCTGTTGGTATGCAGGAAAGTTTACATCAGCACCTTCTGAAAGCCTGAAAGTTTCTGTTCAAATCTGCTGTCATGTACATGTTTTCCTGGGCCAAGATGTGGTTTATTTTAGGGTAAACTGACTGGCTTTATGATAGATATTTACACAAAACTCTAGAACATGCAAATCATATGGCCAATCTAAACCACCCAGAATGACTCTGTTACTTCTACACTCCTCACCCTCTAAAATTCTGTTTTCACACTTCATTTCTTTCAGCATGTAAATCTTAACAACTGACCCATGCTTTTTACATTTCTCCAGGGCTTCAGTGCTTTAAGTAGATCTCCATTAAGGAGCACTGATAAACTGCAGTCCTTTGCCACCACAAGATAACTCCCTTCAAAATATCCCAGTATTTTCTCTGCCATAATTCCAGATGCTTCTCCCCTTGCTGCCCTGGCCTGCCAAAGATGGGGCAAATACAGAGACAGAAACAAGCAGCTTTGCTAACTGTAACAGCTCAGAGACTGTGAAAGAATTCCCTAAACTGTATAAAAAAGAATTCACTCCAGCCTGCTGTATGGGGGACAGGGTAGTTGAACTGCACTGAAATACCAGCTTGGGATGTGTAGCTTCCCCAACATGCTATCCTGAACCAAGCTACAGTCTGAGTTCAACAGTTTCCTGAGGTGCTTCGCCTCCCCTTTGTAGTTCCTAGTTTGGGACTTGCTTGATCTCTAACAGTGCTATCCCTTAGTCACCCCATGTCCTGCACACGGAGGAAGCTTCCCGGAGGCTGCAAGAGTTGATTTTATTGGGGTTGCTCTACCCTTGCCTGCTCCTGAATAAAGGGATGCTGTCCTGCACACCAAAGATTATGGTCAAGCAGGGATGAGCAAGAATTTGGCTTGGTACAGATTAATTCAAAATTCTTTAGACTCCTGAAGTCATAGACTGGATTCTTTATCAAAAGTTGTTTTGTTTTCTTTTTCCATCTCAGTCGTTTGTTCCTAGTTGTAGTATTTGGCTGTATAAGGTAGACGATTGAACAAATTCATGCAAAGCACAAGAGCATCATCCTCTAATATTAGCAAATTATACAGATAGGTTAGATAAAAGGTCAACTCTTAATAACATCCAGAAACTCAGCATCTGGTTTGGCTACATTGCTGGCCTCAGGCCTATGTTTTTAGGATATAAATACTATTGAGCAGCTAATAACACTCATTAACATCTCCCTTCACTTTCAAGTATCTCCTAAATTGGCAATTCTTTCACCTCTCCTCAGTAAGAAGAGGTTCAAAGGTTAGAATGACCAAAATTATATAGAAATGGAGTAACATGTCAGTAGTTTTTGCTTGGTGCTCATTACCATTCAAGAGTTTCAGAGAGGACCGAAGTTTTTCAGCAAGCTTAGTGGGAAGTGTCAGGAGCTTGATTGAGCACGTTTTTTGTAACTACAGCCCAGCTGCATTAGCACAGCTTTTTTATGTACAGATATAAACAGCTCTGGAACTTTTTGTTGCTGCTGAGGTTTTGGTTTGGTTTGTTATTTTTTCTCTGTCCTATAATTTCACTAGCCACTAGGTGACATCCTAGTTCTGTCACAGTGCTCCTATGCAGGAAGAAATAGATGGACAAATCAGAACTACAGAGAGCACAAACCTAGATCCTGATTCAGCTGGCAGACTTGAGCTCAATTTCTGTTTGCTCTGGTGAGGTTTAAGAAGGTAAGTGGCACTTCAAAAGTGCCTGTATATTTAGTCTATATCCAAGGAGGTATCGTGGATGGGACTGATTAGCTTCTGGAGAGTTTTCTGAACTTGGACATAAGACCAGCCTGCCTGAATTACCCTTGATACATGAGAGGGAAAACTTAGCAGTAACACTACCTCAGAATTTCATTCAGGAACAGATGCATTAACATATATGGTTGTTAAACAGAAAACCCCCAGGAGTTTCCCCTTACAGCACAGTAGTGCAAGTCTAGTCAGATGTGATGGCTTGTGAAAACATCACTAGGGATAAAAAGGAAAAAAAAACAGTATTAATTCTGAAGTAGGCTGGTTCACAAAACAAAAATAGTGCTGGGGTCAGTTCTGTTTGGGAAGAAGAATGGCTTCATAAGCATTTTTAACAGTAGAAGCATTGATAGGACCAATCTCATGCTTTAAAGCTTCTGGTAACCAACTTTTCTTACAGAATTTTCAGACTTCATCTTTATTATATCAGTTTCTGGTTATACTGTCCTTTTTCAACTGTACTTTTCATGCCTTTCAAGAATAAACCAAGCAGGAATTTACTTTCTGGTATCTAATCCTGTGAAGAAAGATATTTGTCCAGTTGCTAGAGGTTTTCAACAGTCAAGCCAGTAACCATACTTAATGTCAGCTTTAGATATTCACTGATGTGCATTGTATTAGCGCAGCATCCCTTAACTTTGAAGGTAATAAGCTCCATTTACAAGTTTTACCTCTGCTCAGGTCTTAAGGTTATAGTTTCCTAACGATTTTGCTATAGGCAGGAGCAGAAGTTCCTTCCGCACCCCTGTCCCCCAAGATGTCCAGCCAAACTCCTCAGAGGCACTACTGTCATGAGTCAACATAAAGACAGAGAAACAAATGAAACAAATGCTTATATAGAAAGTTAGTCTGTGCAACACTTCTTCCCCCCCAAAAAAACCCCATGCCCAGCTCTGAGCAGGGCATTGGCTGGAAGAAAAACAAATTGCATTTACAATTCAGGAGGTGCACACGTAACCAGCTACTGCCACCCTTCTCCAGCACTAATTTTGGAGAAGGATCACAGGAAACAGTTCTGTTGGCTGCCTGGACACTACAGCACACTGACATAATAATTGATTCGCAATGCTTTATTGGTCAGATAGACACAGTCAGAAGGGTGTGTGACCTAGACAAGATTAGCACCCTGTCAACAGGAGGCAAAGCAAGAGATGCCGTTTTTAATGCAAAGCTTTACTAGAGCTGTTACCAGACTCCTGTGACTTCATAGCATCAGGTAGCTCTGGGGTGCTTGAGAAGGGGTCAATATGCAATGGTTCAAAGGTGCCATTGCTAGGTCTGAATAAAGCCAAGCCCACTGTGGCAGGAACATGAGGACAACAGCTTCGGCTGCTTAAGCCAGTCTAGCAGAGTCCTGTGATCATCATCCAGTAGCTGGTTATCTTTGTAAAGCCTCTGCTCCTCCAGTGGCCTCTTCAGTATTCCCTCCATCACCTTTTTCAACTCATGCACAGTTGTTGTCTCTTTGGCCTCAATGAACCTTGTCTTGTGGCAGCAAATCATCAGGTAGACATACATCACAGTCCTAGGGCTTCCTGCAGTCCTCTGTCACTGGGAAACTTGTGATTTCATTCCTCTAGTGAGAAACCTTTATTTTCAGGAGTAGCTGAAGTCAAGACAGAACTGTCATTAGATGAATGGATCCAATGGGGACAAAGAAGGCCAAAAAAACCCCAGAGAGCTGCTTTGCTAAACAGATCAAAATCCTCATGCTCTACACAAGTGATACTATTAAGTACTTAATGACTTCTGTATTCCTAGCTAGGTATCATCTAGCAAGAGCTTTTGACACTGTTAATAAACATTTGTATTACTTTAGCTTCTTGCCTGAAAGGTTTTTATCCTCAGTTTGCTTTAGGCCATGTGCATCTACCCGAGATCCCAGGAGGAGCCAGGCATGCAGCTCTGACCACACTCAGCACAGTGATTGGGCTTTGTTGGTTTCTAGTCAGGCAAGAGAAAAGGACTTCTCTGGGTCCTTCACATGTTCAGTAAAGACAAAGTTGGTAAACACAAAAGAACTGAGAGCTGTCAAACTAATGGGCAATGTCAAGATATTTTAGCCTCCAACTGCAGTTTCAGAAAGTAAGTTGTCAAAATAGCTCATTGCCTAGCACTGATGCTGATAGTGAGTCTCAGCTTAGAAGTAACTCTTCTCCCTCAGAGTTTGGCTAGGGTGGAAGAGATTCACACAGGAGTAGTGGGAGGGGAAATTAGATCTGGTAACTTTAAAAGGAGCTCTTTAAAGCCCAACCATTTTAAGGAGCACCTTATGGTGGTGCCAGTGTAGTCAGTTGTCACATGCAGAGCAAGTCACACCCAAGAGGCTAAAGGCTCTTTTCAGCTCTGAAATGCTCAAGAGTCAAGAACATCTTTCCAAAGCTACCATTACTTGTTCCCACAGAAGTTCAGGGACAGCATACAGCTGGCTCCATCCATACCCACAGACACCAAGGCCTACTTCCAGCCCCGTGGAGGAATAGCTGCACTTCAGGGATTTGGGCTGCTCTTGTCTGTGGAATGAGAGGCATGAGGTCCAGAGGTTCAAGAGTAGTTACTACTCCCCCAGTAGGAACTTCCTTAAGAAGTGGAGCAAGATACTCCTCTGGATGAAGGCAAGCAGTGGCCAGCTACCGGCAGGCCTGCACTGCTGAAAGGAGGAAGAACCCTCACTCACTAAATCAGACAGAGGGGGGGAAAAAAAAAAAAAGTTAACCTTGTTCTTCTCTGCCATCTGCACTTTGATATCACTGGCACATACAAACTTTCCAGACCTAGGCTAGAGTTAATCCCTTGTGCAGTCAAATTAGATTACACCAGAGATTGTAACAGAGGCAGTAACTCTGTTCTTCCAGTATCTTTTTTCTGTCTAACAGGAAGACAGACACTGCTATTCCAGCCTGGCAGAACCTGGTTCACCCATCCCTGAGCAGTGACCCAGAGGAACTGTCATCTAAATATGGCCATTAACTGTCTCTTCATGTGCATGTCTGAGCTGGCATGACATGTGTCTGTTCTACCCAAGATTCCCTGTGCTTTGCAGTATGTTCTCCAGGAGAGAAGAAAGGAGAAGAGATGTCACAAGTGCAGCACAGCCAACAAAACAAGAGGGAGCTGCTTTGGACTCAGTTTATGCAATGGCTAATTAATTCTGAAGGCAAGTGGGACCTTGGGATCTAAATAAGTTCACGGACTGAGACCAGTACTAGGATTACAGATGGGATAGTTTTGAAGGAAGGACAAAGCAACATTTACCTCTCTTCAAGGTAGTGAAGGTGTTACACTGCCTTTGTGTTATGTCATTTTGCTAAACAGTTTAAAGAAAAAAAGAAGTCAGGTCTTCTGCATGAGCAGCAGTTAAGAGACCTCAATTTTTATTTCAAAGGGAAAGTGTTCAGAAACACAGCCAAGCTAGATAAAGGAAAGCATGCACATGGGCTAAACAACCTGAAGTAGTTCAAGTTCAAAATAAACCCCACACATACACATGAGAACCAGCTGCCATCTGCCCCAGACCAATAAAGGTGTGAACTGATGGGGAAAGAAAGGGAGAGTTAGAGAAATGTCTTTATAAAACTTCCATTAGAGAGAGGATTTGAGCAGGGTGCATTTACATAGCCTAAAAGCATCAGGAAGTCGATCATTGAATCCTTCCTGCAGAGGGAAAAAAAATACCACCCACCACAAGTGGTGGCCACACTGATGGTGCTGCACCCCTGTAGGAAATTTTTATATTCTCTCTCTCTCTCTCTCTCTCTCTCTCTCTCTCTCTCT